AGGCATATGGATATTATCCTATCACTGACATTGTTGTTTTTCAGGATAGATCTTGAAATGTTCTTTTTGATGATGAATGCAACCTCATTCCTCTTCAATTTGTTACTCCCGGCACAGCAGACCATATGATTGCCCAATTCAAAATGGCCAATACCAGTTAATTTTGGCTCACTAATGTCTACGATATTGATCTTTAAGCGTTCCATTTCATTTTTGACAACTTCCAATTTTCCTTGATTCATACTTCATATACTCCACGTTCTAATTATTAATGGATGTTTGCAGCTGTTTCTTCTCATTTTTGAGTTGTGCCACATCAGCAAATGAAGGTCCCGAAAGCGTGACCCCATCCACATCGTTACGGTTGACTCTACCTTGAGGAGGCAGCTCTTCCCCAGTTGTATTCTGAGTGCCTTCCAACCTGAGGGGCTCATCTTCTGGCACTATAGCATACAATTGTTCCGCTGCTATTCATAAGGTTTTCACGGGCCGATTTTTTCAGAAGTAGATCACCAGGTCCTTCTTCCTAGTCTGTCTTAGTCTGGAAGTTCTGCTGAAACCTGTCCACTATGTGTGACCCTGTTGGTATTTGAAATACCAGTGGCATAGCTTTCAGCATCACAGCAACCCACAAGCCACCACAGTACGACAAACTGACAGACGAGTGGTGGCATTAGATACTGCTAACCCAGTATGAACACCACTTGGAGGGATTAGAGAGAGCTTCCTGGAGAAGGTGATTTCTGAGTGGAACCCTGACAGACAAGCAGAATTCCAACAGGTGTCAAAGTTGGGGAAGAGGAAATGGCAGGAAAAAAAACTCGAATGAATACAAGAAGATGGCAGAGCTATTCAGTAACAGGTTAAGTGTGTTAGGCACTGTTGTCAGGCTTCCAAAGAAGCTCCTTACAATAGAAACAGTCCCAGACACAGGCTGATCCCCTCAGGGCAAGTCTGTGCTACAGGACCCTTCCCCCAGCCATAACTGATGGTTCCAGAGTTAGACATACCATCAAGCTGGAAAAAATCAGATCACTTGCCCAGTCTGGGATTTGCTGGGGCCAAATCAGAATCCATGAGGAAAGGTCTATGATCTCTTGCTGCCAAAGTTCCCAAGGCTGGGTGTGTTCCTGCCCTTCCCTAGGCCTTTCAGCAACTTCCTGGCTCCTGTGAGCTTCCCCAGTGGACTTTCTATAGATTTTCCATTTTAGCCTAAGCTAATGAGAAGGGTTTTTGTTGCTTGCAACTGAAAGAATACTAACAGTTCAGTGAGTACCATGACAGCAGTAACAAGTTTATCTCCATGAAAGAGTTCTGTCACTAAATGAAATCTGAAAACCTCTGAGACGAGCCAAGGGTCTGTGAAGGGAAGTTGTGGGAATCAGATCAAGTTGGAAAAATGGGTGGCATCTGGATACCTCAAACGACAGGCTTAGTAGGATGGAGTTTAAGGGACAGGGGAAGACACTGAGGTTTCTGAACAAGGGAGGAACATGGTCAAAACAATCTTATTAGAAGATACCTGGCAGTGATATGAAGGGTGGATGGTAAAATGGCAATATATCGGACCCTTCAGGGAGGCTGAGATAATGGCCATTGGGACAGCATGCTCAGATCCCTCTTGCTCCCATGCCTTTGGCGCCTCCCTCTAGCCCCTAGTTTAGAGCCAAGTGCTGAGCAGGCACTCAGTTAAAGTCTGCTATCAGATAGGCTGAAAGGAAGAACTGACAAGATTTGATGACTAAATGCTGGGATCAAAGGAGGGAAAGAAGTAAAGGTCATGGGATTTTCAGCCTTGGCTGGCAATTTCAACTAAACCAGAATGTCAGGAAGTGTGATGGGGTTGGGGGATACTTATGAGGGGGATGAGTGTAATGTTAGACAGGCCTTTCCGAAGTGTTGCTGAGACATCTTGGCAGGAGTTTCCAGCTTGCAACAGCAGGAGTTAAGACTGCAGGACTGGAGGAGGGGGGTACAGAGGGCGGGGGTCAGGGGAGTGGCAGACAATCCATGGGTGGAAGTTGGTCAGTCTGGTGGAGTTCTGTTCACTCCACAGTAGCTGAGGACCCCGGTGTGCCAGGAACCGAGCCACGAGCTGGAGGGGATTTCAAAAGTCACAGCAGCGAACGAGATTGTAGAGAGGAATGTCTGCAGGATTTGGAGTCTGCCATACTTCTTTTAAAAATCTTAGGCTACTATGTAAAGAAAAAGAACAACGATGAATCCACGGAACATCTTACAACATGGATGAATCTGGAGAGTATTACACTGAGTGAAATAAGTTATCACAAAGGACAAATATTGTATGAGTCCACTATTATAAAACCTCAAGAAAAGGTTTACACATAGAAAAAAACAATCTTTGACAGTTACGAGAAAAGAGAAGGGTGGGAGGGAAAATCACTAACTAGATAGTAGATAAGTGTTAACTCTGGTGAAGCGAAAGGCAACACACAATATAGGGAGCACAACTTGACGAAGGCAAAGTCATAGACACTTCCTAGATACATCCAAATACCTTGAGGGGCCAAGTTACTGGGGCTGAGGGCTGGGGACCATGGTCTTGGGGGACATCTAGGTCAACTAACATAAGATAATTCATAAAGAAAATGTTCTACATCCCACTTTGGTGAGTAGCATCTGGGGTCTTAAAAGCTTGCGAGCAGCCATCTAAGATACATCTATTGGTCCCATCCTGACCAGAGCAAAGAAGAATGAAGAAACCCAAAGACATGAGAAAAATATTAGTCCAAAGCACTAAAGGACCACACGAACCACAGCCTCCACCAACCTGATCACAGAAGAACTGGATGGTACCCGGTTACCACCACTGACCGCTCTGACAGGGATCACAATAGAAGGTCCCAGACAGAGCGGGAGAAAAATGCAGAATAAAATTCAAATTCACAAAAAAAGACCAGACTTACTGGTCTGACGGTGACTGGAGGAACTCCCCAAGACTATGGTCCCCACACACCCTGCTAACTCAGAGCTGAAGCCACTCTCGAAGTCCACCTTCCAGCCAAAGATTAGACAGGCCTATAAAACAAACAACACACGTGAGGAAAAAGCTTCTTAGTTCAATCAAGTCTATGATACCAAATGGGCAATACCCGCTCAAAAGCAAAGACAAGAAGGCAGGAAGACAGGAAAACTAGACAAATGGACATGGGGAACCCGGGGTGGAAAGGCAAGGAGAGTGGTGACTCATTGCAAGGATTGCAACCAATGTCACGAAACAATTTGTGTATAAATTTTGGAAAGAGAAACTAATAACGATAAAAAAAATTCTCAGGCTACATCCATAGACTTGCATGGCAGCACAATGAATTACATATGAGAAGAGCCATTGCAGTCCCGTCTGTAATAGGAAAAGCCTGGTAACAGTCTAAATGTCACTCAATAAGGGGATGGCAGCATGTTACTAAAAAGAATGGGGCAGTTCTATACATTCATTGTACATGGATGGAGAATGATGTGCTGAAATATATGAGAAAAAGTTTAGAACAGACAATATGGAACATCTCATTTTATGTTTAAGGAGGGCAGTAATAGAAATAAAATCATATATACTTGTACTTGGATTTGCACTGATATCTTTAAAATGACACACAAGGAACTGGGAACATAAACTGCCTTTGAAGGGGAGAGCTGGGGGACAAACGAGGAGGATGACTTTTTTCACAGCATGTTCTTTTCTCACAAACTGACTTACCTACTATGAGCACGTATTGATGATTTAAGAACAAATAATTATTTAGTTGTTATATTAGTTTCCTATGAGTGCTGTAACAAACTGTCACAACTTTGGTGGCTTAAAACAAGACATTTGTTCTCTCAGTTCTGGAGGCCAAAAGTCCTAAACCAGTGTCACTGGGCTGAAAAGGTATTGGCAGGGCCACGCCACCCTCAGAGGCTCTAGGGGAGAATCCGTTCTTTGCCTCTCCCAGCTTCCCATGGCGCCTCTCCCTCTGCTGTCTTCATACCACCTTCTCCTCTGTGAGTCTGTGTCCGATCTCCCTCTGCCTCACGCTGATAAGGACGCTTGTGATGCTTTTAGGGCCCACCCAGATAATCCAGAATAAACTCCCCATCTCAAAATCTTAATTTAACCACATCTGTGAAGTCTCTTTTTCCAAATAAGGTAACACTTAACAGTTCTGGGGATTAAGACCTGATATCTTTGGGGGTGACTAAAGCCTACTCCAGCTGAGTGTTTCTTAAATGCCTCTAGTCATAGGATGTCTTAGTAAAAACCACTTCCACTAGCTCCCCAATAAGCTTACAAAAAACCGACTAAAACATCACTTAATGTAATGTAAAGCCCCGCTTTCCGCAGGAGCCAGAAGGAATGTTCTTGGCTTCTTCTTCTAAGAGATTCTGAGGTGGTTTAGAACTTGCCCATGCCAAGGCAGGCAGTGCTGTTCCCAGCAGTCAGCAGTGGGTGAGTGAGTGAACAAATTCTAATCAAACCCACTGACTCCACAGGAGCTGATCATGATCACGTGGGCTCAACCAGGGAAGCCAGAGAACCACACCTTTCTTCAGAAAGGGTATCTATGCTTCCACATGTTCCACCAAGGGTCTATTTTAGCTCTGAACCCTGAGCAAGAACAACAACTGTTATAAATAGCAAAACCAAGGTTACAATTTGACCAATTTCAGTTCTGATGTTAGGAAAGAAGTCGGATGTTAAGTCAGTTTGTACAGCAAGGGGTGAAAGAAAACCACAGCGTGAATACAGTCATATTGGGTTGCACAATCAACATTTTAACCCTTTTTCCACCATACTGACTGAGTAACTAATTCCTGTGACTTCAGTCTGTAGAGAAACACCTGAGACATTCTAACAAGGTTACAGAGAAGTTTTGTGGGAGTCTGCCGAAGTCAGGAAAGACATTCCTCAATGAAAGCAGTTTTCCTTTTGCCTCATACAGCAGAGAGGGATGCCACGGGCATTCAAGTCACAGGCAGGAAGGCAGGCGACGGGGCACGCTTACCTTTGTTATGTGACATGGCGTAGAGGAGGCAGAGCACGAAGAGGGCGTGGTAGTCATCCTCCGGGCTGTCCAGGGCATGGTACACCATATCCAGGAAGGGTCTAGAAAAGAGGGAGGGACACGCCTCAGCCTCATGAACACCTCTTTCCTCCCACCTGCACATGGGGAGTGGGCTGCCCTTCTCTCCTACAGCTCTGCACTAATGAGCCCACCAACGCTCACCACACACCCGGTGTCCCGCTGTCATGGACTGAATTGTGTCCCCCAAAAAATGTGTGTAGCAACTTGGAGGGGTCATGATTCCCAGTATTGTATGATTGTGTAATCTGATGTGATTTCCTTATGTGTTGTAAACTCTATCACTATGATGAGGTTATATGTGATCTCCTTATGTGCTGTAAATTCTATCACTGTGATGAGGTTATGCTGATGAGGTTTACAAGATTAGACAGTGTCTTAATCCAATCTCTTTCGAGATATAAAAGAGAGAAGTGAGCAGATACACATGGGAACCTCATACCACCAAGAATGCAGTCCCAGGAGCAGAGCGCATCCTTTGGACCTGAGGTTACTGTGCTGAGATGCTCCCAGACCAAGGGAAGACTGATGCATGACAAGGACCTTCCTCTGGAGCTGACAGAGAGAGAAGGCCTTTCCCTGGAGCTGATGCCCTGAGTTTGGACTTGTAGCCTACTAGACTGTGAGAGAATAAATTTCTCTTTGTTAAAACCATCCACTCATGATATTTCTGTTAGAGCAGCACTAGATGACTAAGACGCCCGTCCAGCACCAGGCACTGGGGCCGCAAGGACAAATCAGAACATGGTTCTGCCCAGAAAGAACTGCTTTCTAGAGGGGAAACTGACCGAGGAACAGACTGCTGAGTGGTTCAACAATCGTTCAGCAGGTGCCCCAGACACTGCGGGAAAACGAGAGTCCCTGCTCCTATGGAGGTCACATGCCAGACGAGGGGGCAGACACAGAGAATCAACAGACACACATCCTCATTTCAAACAGTAACAAGAGAATGAAGAAAGAAAACAGGGCAATGTGCTAGACAAACAGTATGAGACAAGACACACACAAGTCCAAACAATTTCAAGAATGTGGGCCCTAGAGCCAGATTTGCCGGGTTCCAATTCTGGTTCTTTCACTTCCTAGCGGCACGCCATTAGGCAAGCTACCTAAAACCTCTCCATTTCCCCACCTGTGAAATGGGGATTGCAACTTTGCAGGGTTATTGTGAGGACTCAAGTGAAATGATGGTTGACAGGTATTCCACTCAGGGCCAGGCACACACTGGAAAGGGTGCAGGACATGGGAGCTGCTATTTGGTTTCTATCTTTATACTCAAGGGGCCCTGATGGCGCAAGGGTTAAGCGATCAGCAGCCAACTCAATGGTTCCACGGGAGAAAGACCTGGCGATCTGCTCTCATCAAGATTATAGCCTAGGAAATCCTGTGGGACAGCTCTACTCTGTCCCATAGGGTCGGTATGAATTGGAATAGACTTGACGGCACACAACAACAACAATTTTTACATTCCAAGGGTACTTTCCCGTGATCTCAGCATTTTATTGGACCAACTTTCCCCGACTGGTAAGAATCGGTAACAAAGTCTCCTGCCTCTGATGCTTTGTGGGTGAGATCTGCAGAGCAGCTGCAAAAATCAAGAAACCACACATCCCAAATGCTGCCCCTCCAGGTGAAGAGCCTAGTCCAGAAAGATTCTTCGACCCAATGATAATAGGATATGCACGGGTAGGGTCCACTGGTAGGAAGCTCTAACCTCGTGGCCCTCTGCAGCTGTCCTCTCTGGATGTGATTCTGAGGCCAAGACAGATCACCTCAATGAATGACCAAGGGCACACTTAACCCCCAGAAGGACACAAAGGCCACTATCTACAGGGGTTGTCTGTAGGGAGTGAAACTGGGTGGGGATGAGGAACCGGGAGACTTTTCACCACGTAACCTTTTCTACTTTTTGAATTTTGAACCCGATAAATGTACTGCTTATTCAAAATATTAAACTGAAAGATGCAAAAGAAAAAACAGTGCAAATGTACTCGTCATAACATTTGAAATAAACACATGCAACACGAAGGTTAAAGAAGAAACCTTCGGGGGGCATTTATGTTCAGTCTCCATTTCTCCTGAGCCCCGTATCTTCCTTGCCCGAGATCGGGCATCACCTTCCAGCTGTGTCGATGGTTTCACCACAAATGGGTTTGGGTTTTTGTAAGCCACCAACGATAACACTTCCAAACTTAGGAGCAGGATGAAGTATAAAATGTTTTCTGGTAAATCAGCTACTTGGAAATTGGGCTGTAGTTTCATTTGGGAATAACACTGAATAAGTAAATGCCCCACCACAAGGGAAGAGCTGAGTGGACATACTATCTTTTATGAGATGATGTATCATACAGTCATTAAGCGTTTTGTTTACTAAGTGCACAACAAAACTAAAAAAGATGCTTGGAGTTTGATACAGATGAAAAAAAGGAAGAATTCCCAAAAAGTTGGCAATGAAAAAAAAGCCTGGTAGGAAATAACCAAAATGTTAATAGTAGTCGCCTGTGAATGCTGGGATCATGGAGACTTTTTTTTTTCTTCTTTACACATTTCAAGGTTTTTAACATTTTATTAACGTAAATTATAATTTAAAAAAATTTTTTTGAATAGTTTCTCGTTACTTATGTCTATATTAAACTCCAAACGGAGATACAGCCCATAATGTATGAGGGCTATAAGAACAGATCTGCCTTTTTCTAGACTGTTTCCTCGGGCTATGGATCAACGTCAAGATCCAATTTGCGTCGTGGAGAGCGAATTTCCACCCTCTCTCACCTCAGCACCCTCCCTGCCTCGGTGCTGGGAGCGGGGGTAACAGAGAGCAGTGGCAGTGTTTCTGATCACTAACAACTGGATGCCTGCAGAGGAAAAGTCAGCTCTGGCCCTGGGCCAGTCTCTTCCTGGCATTCGGGCTCAGTGAGATGCAGAGATCTGGCCAGGGGCTCCTGGGCTGTGTGCTCACAAGCCCACATGTGGCCCAACTCAAGGCACCCACACCAGTTTCCATCATAAGCCAAGTGGTAAAAGATGCCAATTAAAGTCACTCAGAGTTAAGAAACAATCTTAATCAACCCTAAGAAAACCTCTCCCTTTACTAACATTTAGAAAAAAAGAAGCCACCAACTCCAACATTCAAGCATGTTTTGGTTGGTGTCTTTCTTTTTTTTTTTTTGGTTTTGGCAATGCACAGGTGTTTTTCTTCCTTTAGCAAAGTTACAGTATTACCATACTATGTAAAATATGTGCCCTATTTCTGTTTATTAGCCTCTAAAAAACTGGATACATCGTGACACTATTCAACTAAAGGCAGCTCATACTCCACTGAGCAAATATACCTTAATGTGCTTAAGCATCCCCCAAGGCTAGTCACTCCTGGTTTTTCCAATTATGCATATTCTAAGCGCTGGGCTGAGCATCTGAAGGTCTTTTTCCCTCCCTTTCTATGTTTAGAATGATTTCCTTAATTTTCAGAGCTTCATACCTTACATTTTTTGCTGTCAAGCAAAATCAAAGAGGTCTTTATAAGGTACAGCAATTGATAGCCTGCACTGCCCTCCAATACGTTTTTTATTTAACAAAGACTAAAAATGGCTCCCTCGGCATCTGATAAAAATTAATTCCATCTGTTGGGTAACCAAAACATTTGCCAAGCAAAGAGATAAACAAGATGTGGAGGAAAAAATTAGTGTGCTTCAACTCTTCGCTTTAATTTGGATTCACAGAAAGGATGGGTGTGTGTGTGTGTTTCACTAATGAATGCCTGGCAGGCTGACTGAGGAACTGCAAGGCTTGCTGTGCATTTACTAACACAAAGCAGGATCAGGGGGACTCCGCGGGGTCTGTGCAGTGGGGCCACTTTATGAGCCCATCACCCTGAAACGAGGAAGCTTCTGACAGTTCACTGCACAGACTGGGAGCAGCTTCCACCCAACCCCATTCTCAAGGGGTGGTGTTCCAGCACGGTTCCAGGAATGTGGTATCTCAGGGGTCTGAGAGGGTTTAGGTTCAGCAGACGATCACTGAAACGAACAATCAGGCAGAGTCGAAGGCAGACAGCAGCATTAGATCACGCTGGCTGAGTCGGTTGGGACAAGCTCTGTGGACGGTGGCGTGCATGGCGGTGAATGAACGGGAACAGGGAAATCCAAGCCCAGCCCCAAAGGGAGCCTTCTTAGAGCAGCCAATGTAAGGTGAGGCCACACCCTCTAGGACAGAGCCCAGCACCAAAGTACTGCAGGGGTGGGTGGCAATGTAGCCCGGTCAATCTCTTCCCAAGTGGTGAGCACTACAATGTCACCTGGGCTCTGTCCCCTTGGTCTCTCAAGAGGAGCCATCCCTCTGGTGATCAGAGGCTGGAGGAAGAGCAGGGAAAGGAAAGGAAGCAGGAGGGTTGGGCTGAGAGACACAAGAAGGCATTTGGTGTGGTGAGAAGAGGCCCTGGGTTAACTCTAAGTGATCACCCTGGGCCGGGCAACCCCGGCCAAGGCACTTAACCTCAGCGCTGAACCCATCTCCTCAGCGTAAGACAGCAGCAACCCCCACCGACGGGCAGATGGCTGGCTCCTGGGCAGCCCCCGCGGGAAGCATACACATGCTCAGCAGGGCAAGCCCCCTCCGGCCGGCCGCCTACCTGCTCCATTGCACACTATGGCTGCAGCCCGTGGCAGCGGCCCTCTTCTCCTCGTCTGTGGTGTTCTGCTCCTGCATGGAGGTGCTGGCGGCCACTTCTGAGAGCTTGCTGCGTTCCATGATCACCATCTCTATCTCTGGAAGCAAACACGGAAACTGGGATGAGGCCCGATGGCTTACAGACCTGTATTTACACACATACTCATGTTCGAGAAGAAGACATGTAAACTGCTCCTCATGTGTCCAGCAAATGTTCCACAGGAGTGCCATGGACATCAGCAACACACTGGAGGAGAAAGAAAACACAGGCCAGGACCTCTCTTTCCATTCGTCTCAGAAATATCGAGAGATGTGTCCCTTATTTTGACAAGAAAACATGGATTGCAATCATTTATTTCAGGATCAAAATAGAGACCCTTTATCAACATCATGCTTCCTCCCCAAAGGATTTGAGGTAGAAGAAATAATTTGTGGCCAATAAAACAACCAAATTCACTAACAATATCCAACAGCTTGTGTTTTTCCCTTTCCACTCACAACTTCCAGGAGGAAGGGAGAGTTTAGGCGCCTTGTTTGATTTTTTCCCAACTAAATAAAGGCAGCTTACAGTGACCGACTGAAGCACAGTAAGCATTTCACCTTTCAGAAAAATTGATGAACCACTAAAGAAAGAACGTCTTGAAGTAAAGATGGATGGTTGCTGCGCTTTAAGATCTCTCAAAAAAACAGGATTCTTTGCTGTGCACATGTGGGCCTTCTAATACCATCTCCCCCATCTTGAGGAGACACAATGAAAAAAATAAAGATGATGAATGCAAACCTGCACTTCCGTTTCTGGAAGGATGAGAATGTATACCCTGGACCCGGATGCAGCCTGCACTGGTACCATTCTAATTCAAGCCTCCTTCATCTTCTCCTGGCCTCCTGCACGGCCTCTTAACTGGCCTCCCCTTCCTTTCCTGCACCCCAGTCTACTCTCCACACAGACCCAAAGCGATTTTAAATGGAAATTAGCACGTCATCGGTCTGTTCAAAACTCTCCAACGCCTTCCCATCACACTTGGGATGAAATCCAAACGCCTTGCATGGGCTGGCCCCTGTCCATCTCTGAGCTCACCTCCCAGCCCTCTCCGCCCAGCTCAAGCCTCACCAGCTGTGCTGGAGTTCTCCCTAGCCCCTGAATGCCCCTAGCCTGCTTCTGCCTCAGGACCTTTACACAGCTGTGTCCTTCGCCTAGGACACTCTAACCCACGTCTTCCCTTCCTATGACTCATTCACATCATTCAAGGCTCAGTGAAAATGTCACCTCCTGGGAGACATCTTCTCGGACACCTTCCCCACCCACTTTTCCCTTGACTGCTTTTTAAATTATTATTAAGTAAACTCCATATCCACCACCTGTCTGTCAGTGTGTCATACTGGAAACTATGCCACTGGTGTTTCAAATACCAGCAGAGTCACCCATGGTGGACTGGTTTCAGTGTTTCGGCAGAGCTACCAGACTAAGATAGACTAGAGAGAAAGTCCTGGAATCTACTTCCCAAAAATTAGCCAGTGAAAACCTTATGGATCACAATGAAATGTTGTCCAGTACAGTGCTGGAAGATAGTGCACGACCAGGCTACGTTTTGTTCTGTTGTACACAGGGTTGCCATGAATCAGAGCCAACTTGATGGCAACTAACTACAACAACAAACTCCGTATCTTATTCAAATTTCAGTAATTTCCCCCGATGTCCCTTTTCTTTTCCACTATACCACATTACATGTAGTTGTCATGTCTCCTTAGGCTCCTCTGAGCTGTGACAGTTTCTCAGACTTTCTTTGGTTCTGAATATCCTGACAGTTTGTGAACACTGGTTGGGTACTTTGTAGAATGTCTCTCAATTTGAGTTTGTCTGATGTTTTTCTCATGGTTAGGCTGAAGTTATAGGTTTTTGGGAGGAAGACCACAGAGGGAAAGTACCCTGCTCATCACATCCCATCCTCAAGACTTATCGCTGTTGATGCTGACCTTCATCACTTGGCCAAGCCAGTGTTCAGCAGGTTTCTCCACTGTAAAGTTAGCTTCCCCCGTCTCTCCACACTGCACTCTTGGGCAGGAAGTCACTAAGTGCAGTCCACACTTAAGGAGTGGTATCACTTAAGGGTGAGTATCTGTATAAATTATTTGGAATTCTTCCGTCCTGGAGATTTGTCTCCCCCTCCCTTGCCCCGCCCTTTACCTTGTTTTTACTTGACAGCATTTATGATTACCTGGATTTTATAGTGTCTATTTATTTACTGCTTGTCTGGAGTCTGCCTTTCCCACTAGAATGTGGGCTTCATATGAGTAGCGGCCTTGTCTGTCTAGCCCAGGGCCTGTAGTACAGGCAGGACACGAGTATGGCCAAGAGCAGGCCACTGGTGCAGCCAGCTGCTTAGGGAATCTTATCGGCTCCATCTCCTTGCATTTTCACCTCTAGCAACCTCCATCGGGCGCCCCTCTCTCTCCCCAAAGTTGGGGACATGCTCTGCAGTGAGCATGCAAAGTAAGTCATCGGGCAGCGGGTCTTTCAGTTATTCTCGTCTTTTTAAAATCTATTTTATCCGTTATAATGTACATAACATTAGCACAGTAATACAAATACATATAATTTATAATAAATAAATACACATACATTTTGAGGGGTGCATCCTTGAATTTACTTATTTGTTTGTTTTCACTGATGGGGCATGCTGGCAAAGACATCTGAAGTCTACCAAACAAGACTATGGTGGCAGCCCCCCGTCTCAGGCCTCTTGCTGCGGCCCTGGCCTGTACAGCCACCACCAACCACACTGCAGGTCCCCGTTCCCCAGGCACAGCCCTGACCCCTGTGGGGCTGATACGGCAGGAACTCAGCTCCATGGGCTCCCCAAGCTTACAGGGCCAAGCCCTCATGCCTCGGCCTGGAGACCAAGCCCACTGTGATGTGGATGTCCATTTTCTGGCTTTTCACTCTCCCTGGACACCGTGAGAATTCTGGAGGAGGGGAGAGGCTAAAGATAATCCAGTCCAGTGCTTCTCGGTCTTCTTTTTGAGCAGTTGGGGCCTAATTTTGGACGGCATTTTCCATGACACACTACCATGTGCAGAAAGCAGATGAAAGCAGAGCTGCTGCTCTGGGTGAAGGGTGGGTGGGTGCCCAAACCCCTCCATGCACAGGTTCCCTCGGCCACTCCATAGAGGCCCCTAAGATCCCCTTCCAGAACGCTGGGGCGTCCCGCAAAAGTACCTGAAAACCACCGGTTTGGTCCAGCCCTGGATGCTGTATACAGAAAACAAGAACCTAGAGAGCAGCAACTTTTCTGAGGCCACGCAGCTGGAAATGTGGCAAAGGGAGCCAGGAGGGGACCTGCAACCAGCGCCCCTGCCCCTCCACCCCCACACTGTGTCGTGATGCAGGACCAGGCCCACAAGGGCCTCTCCATACAGAGCGAGGGGCCCAAACTCGGCTGCACCCTGGTCCTTACAGCTGCACAACACCTCCCCCCACCCTATACATCTCATCCAGCTGTTCCAGAGATTAATTTTCTAGATGAATACAGATTAGTTCTTCCAATGCTCAGTCTTTTTCCTTCTTTTTAACAGTTTTATTAAAATTTAAAAAAAAAAACCCTTAAAAATAGCACTGGCCTAGAGTCTAACTCACGGGAACTGTAGGCAGAATTCTATGTGGGTGTGGGGGTGGTTGGTGACATTTTTGAGGAGAGGGTCTCCCCAGGTTCTCAACCACCACTCTCTAAAATGGATTCTATGGTCACCTTTTAAAGACAACGTGGGAGAGGGCTGGCCGAGCATGGAGACTCAGGGTCACAGTGAGCCCCATCTTTATCCCACACGGGAACGTCCCACTTGGCTCTGTGCAGCCACTCCCCCTTCTCCCTGTGGACACGCACCCACTCTCCCACCCTGCACACTGCCATGCTGCTGCCACCAGGGAAGCAGCTCAGTGGGCTCACGTGGACACTGGCGTTACCTGATGGCCCCTGAGGGCGGGGCTCAGGCTCTAAGGATGGATCTTGGAGCTCCACCTGAACCTCACTTTTTAGACCCTGAGCCCCCCACCTCCGCACCAGGTTTCTGTTTTGGAGTTTGAAGGGGACTGCAGCAACAATCTAGTCCAGCTTCGCTTAAGCCTCAGTCATCTGTCTGCCTTTAAGATTTCTGCCATGTCTGTGTGCCACTTGTACTATTCGTTATTTCATTAATCATTTTATTTGAACTGTCTCACCCTTCTTTTTTAATGAATACATTTTAAAAGGAAATTTTAAATCACCACTATACCCTTCTAAGGAGCCCTGGTGGCACAGTGGTTAAGAGCTCCGCTGCTAACCTAAAGGTCGGCAGTTCGAATCCACCAGCCGCTCCTTGGAAACCCTATGGGGCAGTTCTACTCTGTCCTATAGGGTCTCTAGGAGTCGGAATCAACTCAATGGCAACAGGTTTGGTTTTTTATTTTTTTAAAATACCTTTCAACCCAGTAAGCCCACTTCTAGGAATTTATCTGGAAGATACACCTCTAACAACATGAAAATGCACACACACAGGGTGCTTGCTACAGCATTATCTGTAATTGCCAAACACTGGAAACCACCTAAATGCCCAAGTAGAGGGGCTGGGTGTCTATGGAGTACACACCCAGTACAGTTGCAGGAAAGAATGAGGAAGATCCCTGGGAACGGATACAGAGTGGCTTCCAGAGATGCTGCTAAGTGAAAAGAGCAAAGTGCAAAAGAGCAGGCAAAGTATAGTAGCCTGTGTGCCAAAAAGAAGGGAAGGTAGGAAAACAGACACAGATCTGCTTAGCTTTACAAAAAGACACGTAGCAAGGATAAGGCGGAAAGCAATCAAGTTAGCTATCTACAAGAGGTAGGGGAATGGGATGGGAGGGATATAAGAGGGCAGGATACTTCTTTGAACATATGTATAGCTTTGAAAGTATATTAATATTTATATATTCAGAAAAGGAAATCAAATCAATCAGAATCGGAAGGAGGGAACCCTAAAACTGAAAGCAAACTGGAAAAAAATGAACCTAAATTTATTTCAAACGAACACCACCTGAAGGGGGAAAGAAAGGAAGGACAGCCTCATCCAAGTAGTTTATGAACAC